CTCTTATTAGGTAAGAAAATTCTTTTACAGGGAATAATGCTTACAGCATTTATCTCCCCCCCCCATCTATTTTTTTAATTTATACTACTTTAGAAAAAAATGCGCCTCTATATTATCTAGTTTATATATGAATCCTATGTCTGTCATTATCCTTTCATTTGTTAACTTTCCAATTCCTTGATTTGTTTTAAGTATTGTGTTTAAGACCACTGTTTCTGCTAATGTTATTTGTAGCCATAGCTTTGGTTGACAGATTGTTTTTGATTTTACAAGTTTGCCTGTGCTCTATTATATTTGTGATGACTCTGTTTTTATCAGCTTGTGAATCCCCTACACCACCATCCACCATAGGCCTTTTTCTTCTCCAAGGTCTAAGGGACAAAGTCATTCTTTGGCTTCTTTCAGTGTTACCTCCCTTTTGCTTTGTAGCATCTAATAAAAACCTGTCTTTGTTTTTGAGTATTAATAAAATAACATGTACTTAATATAGTAGATATTAAACTTTTCCACAAATCCCTGGAGGTCCTAGAGACCCTTTCCATCAGGTCTGCAAGGTTGAAATTATTTTCATAATAAAGATGATGTTTGCCTTTTTTCTCTGGGTTGACAATTGGCACTGGTAGTGCATAAGCAGTGGTGGGTCAAACAGCAGATACTTGGGTATGAATGAGGATAGTACTACCAGCTGCATTAGTCATGGGATTCTTCACTGCCACACATTTTCACTTTAAAATGCCAGTTTCAAAAGCAGTAAGAAATGTTAATCTGGGGCTGGGGATGTGGCTCAAGCGGTAGCGTGCTCGCCTGGCATGCGTGCGGCCCAGGTTCCATCCTCATCACCACATACAAACAAAGATGTTGTGTTCCCCGAAAACTAAAAAATAAATATTAAAAAAATTCTCTCTCTCTCTCACTCTCTCTTTAAAAAAAAAGATTAAAAAAATTCTCTCTCTCTCTCTCTCTCAAAAAAAAAAAAAAAAGAAAGAAAGAAAAGAAATGTTAATCTTGGTTAATCTTAACCCCTGAGTATATATCTAGTTGAACATTCCAGGTGATGAAATGGAGAAAATGCGTAAAGGCCTTCTGCTCAAGACTGACATCTAACAGTTGACTCAAGGAAAAAACTTTATGAGTTGCAACCTTCTGGAATTTTTTTTATGGAACACCATTTTTAATTTGAAGGACAATAACACAGCCTGTGGTTCTGTGTATTAGGGTATTTAGTAGATATTCTCTCAAAAATATCAGAAGTGAACCTGCCACTTCAAGGAAAGCAACTCACAGTATTTTGCAAATGTTAAAATTTGAGCATTCATGAGAAAATCAGATTAAAAAAAAAAAAAAAAAACTATCTGTCACCATGAGCTTGATATGCTTCTAGGACTTAAAACACTTGATAAAGTAGGTGGTGATAATAATGAATGTGAATTGTTTTTTGCTGTTGTGTAGTGAAATGTGTCACCATTCTAAAGATTTTCATCAGTGAATCAGTTTTTTCCAGTTGACCTTCATGTAATCATACAATCACACAGGGATAAGAGTCATTTAAAATGTGACCGACGAGTAGATTTACATGCGGTAGAGTATAAAAAGACCATTGACAAGATTTCAGACTTCACATTTATTTAAAATTTAAGAAACTGTCACATGAATAGTGGTGTCCCATTAAAGAATATCCACCATTATCTGAAAGAGTCATTAAAATACTGGGTTCTGTTCTAATTATTTATCTCCATGAGGCTAGGTTTTCTTTGTATGCTTGAACCAAAACAGCATTGCAACAGAATGGATGTAAAGGTACATACCTATGGGAGGCTAGAAATTTAAAATTTTGCAAAACTGTAGAAATAATACTGTTCCTCTCACTAAGTTTGTGTTAGTTTTGGAAAATCGTTTTTTTTCTATAAATGTATGTTATTTATGTTAATATGTAATGTGCCCACTCTTGTTACTTTTAAATAATATTTTAAAGTAGCCATTTTAAAATCTGATGAATAGCAATAGATATAACCCATATCATCTCTTTGTGGTCTTCAGTAATTTTTAAGACTGTAAAGGAGTCCTAATACTTAACATTTTAAGACCTACCAATTCAGTACTTTACAGAAAGCATTTTTCATAATTTTTATATTCATAATACATTATGAGTTATAAATTGTTACCTTAATTTTACAGATGAGAATACTATGACCCAGATAGACTAGACATATTTAGCAACCACTTTAAATTTGATGGTCTTCCAACTCTCTTGGAGGTTTGCTTCTGAGTTAAATTCCGTAGGTCCATCTCCTTACTACCTTCCTATATTTTTCAATTGAAGTTCCTTATGTCATTATGTATAGTACAAAAATAGTATATTCTCCTCTCAGAAAAATCAGATATCCCAAGCAAAAGCATGCAATTCTCCCCAGCAAACGTAACTGTAAACTGTTTAGATGGTCTCCTAAGCATATTTAATTATCAGTGTAAAGTCAGTATATTCTAGTACACAATTAAAAAGCTACTGGAGTCAGATAGATCTTAGTTTGAATCATAACTCTGTGAGCTCTTAGACAAGTTTTAACAACTAAGCCTCCATCTTTAAAATGGGAACAGTCTAAGTACCTACTTTATAGGGTTGTTGTGAGGCTTAAGTGAGATAATGCATAAAGAACAGCTTAGTGCTTGGCACTATAAACACCATAAACATTCAATAAATGTCAGCTGCTGAGGATATGTATGTATGTATGAGTAGTCACGTCAATAGATAGGTCAGGTTTAGGGATATATTTACATGCAGTGAAATTTATCCGTTTCAGTGTATATCCTGTGAATTTAACAGATCTATACACTTGTTTAACTGCCACCTAAAGATGGATATAGAACGGTTTCAGCACTGTAGAAAATTCCTTAATGCCAACCTTTCCCCCAACACAACCACTGGTAACTACACTGATGTGTTTACTATGTCTAGGAATTATGCCTTTTCCAGAATGCCAAATAAATGGAGTTGTACCATGTGTTGTTTCAGTCTGAATTATTTTATTCAGCATAATGCATTTGAGGTTCATTCATGTTGTATACATTCATAGTTTGTTTCTTTTTACTTCTGGTTACTATTCCATTGAATGGAGGTACCAGGATTGGCTAACCACTCACATGGACATTTGGGTTGATTTCAGTGGTTGTTAAGAATAAAACTGCTGTGAATATTTAAATAGAAGCCTTCGTGTCTTCATTTTTCCCTTATTCTTGGATAAATCCCTAGGTATGGGATTCCTGGGCCCTGGAATTCCAGTTGCTCCATATCCTTGCCAACAGTCATCAATTATATTAATGTTAACCCTTCTAATAAGTGTAATTTTATCTCACTATGGTTACCATTTGCACTTTTTAGTGACTGAAAACTGGTCATCTTTTTAAGTGCCTATTTGCCTTTTGTATATTTTCTATGATAGTGTGGTTTTGGCCATTTTTTATCAAGTTGTTTTCTTAACTTTTAGTTATAGAAGTCTTTTTTATAAACTGAATATAGACACTTTGTCAGATATACGTTTTCAGAGTGTTTTCTCTCAGTTGGTGCCTTAGCTTATTGTTTGGTTAATTTTGTCTTTAGGAGAGTAAGAGTTTTTAATTTTGAAGAAATTCAGTTTTGTCCCATCTAAGAAATCTTTGCCTAACCATAGGTTGCAAATACTTTTTTTCCTATATGTTTTAGATGTTTAATAATGTGGGGTGTTACATTTAAGACTGTGGTTTATTGCACATAAATATTTGATTGTGCTGTGAGGTTGTTATGGTTTAGATATTAGGTGTCCCCAAAAATTTCATGTGTGAGACAACACAAGAAGGTTTAGAGGTAGAATGATTGGGTTATGAGAGCCTTAACACAATCAGTGATTTGGGTTCCTGATAGGAATTAACTGAGTGGTAACTGTAGGTAGGTAGGGTGTGGCTGGAGGAGTTAGGCCATTGCGGGCATGCCTTTGGGTATATATTTGTGAGCTGAGCTTAGTTTCTCTGCTTTCTGAGGTGAAGTCCTGAGCCTCTTTCCTCTGCTACACTTTTCCACCAGAATGTTTTACCTCACCTTGAGCGCCAACGAATGGATCTAGCTTTCTATGGACTGAAACTATGAGCTCCAAAATAAACTTTTCCTTTTCTAAAATTGTTCTTATTGGATCTTTTGGTCACAGAAGCAAAAAAGCTCACTTAAACAGATGTTAAAAATCAGGGTGCATTTTTTTCATCTATCCAGTTGTTCCAGCACCATTTATTGAATTACAAACATTTCTCAATTGAATTGCCTTGGCACTGTCTTTCTTTTTAGAAGTTTCCTAGAATAAAGTAGTCCATAATACCCCTTAACTCCTATCCCTTTAATGTTTAAAGGACTTTGTAATGATATACCTGCTTTCATCCTTGATATTGATAATTTGTGTGTACTCTTTTTTTTTCCTGATCACTCTGGCTATAGATTTACCAATTTTAATTTTTTTTCAAAAAAATAGCTTTTAGTTTCCCTTTTTCTTGTCTGTCTCTGGTGTATTTCATTGATTTATGTGCTTATATTTATTATTTTTGTCCCTGTGTTTATTTTTAAAATTTTTCTTCTATTCCCATTTTCCTAAGATGGAATCTTGGATCATTTACTTGAGAACTTCTTTTTTGAAATTTAATTTATATTTAAATTTATTTTAAAATGATACATAAAAACTTAAGATTGTACATTTATTAAAAGGGGTGTGTGTCATGCTGGGTACAATGGTGCATGCCTGTAATCCCAGTGACTCAAGAGGCTGAGAGTAGAATCATAAATTTGAGACCAGCCTTCACGACTTAGTGATATTCTGTCTCAAAAAATATATATAAGAAGAGCTAAGGATGTAGCTAGCTCTATGGTAAAGCATTCTTGGAATCATTCCTTAATACCACCACCACCAAAAAGGTGTGTTATCAGACCTTCTTGATCTTTTTTTTTTTTTTTTTTTGGCAGGGCCGGGAGTATCAGGGATTGAACTCAGGGGCATTTGACCACTGAACCACATCCCCAGTCCTATTTTGTATTTTATTTAGAGACTGGGTCTCACTGAGTTGCTTGGTGCTTCGATGTTGCTGAGGCTGGCTTTGAACTTGTGATCTTCCTGCCTCAGGGTCCCAAACTACTGGGATTACAGGTATGCTCCACCTAGCCTGGCCTTCTTGCTCTTTTCTAACTGTAAACTTAGTCCCTATTGATCAAAACCTCTCCCAATTCCTCCCTTCCTTCTCTTCTGAGTCTCTAGTAACCACGACCCCACTCTCAACTTCTATGAGATCATTTTTTTTTACATTCTACTTATGAGTGAGATCATGTGATACTTATCTTTCTGTGATTGCCTTATGTCACTTAATATAGTGATCTCCAATTCCATGCGTGTTTCTGCAAACAATAAAAATTTGTACTCTTTGTGACAGAATAGTATAGGTACCACACTATCTTTGTATTTTGTGACAGAATAGTATAGGTACCATACTATCTTTACCCATCCATACTTTGATGGACACTTAGGTTGATTCTGTATCTTGGCTACTGTGAGTAGTGCTGCAATAAATATGGGAGAAGTTTATTGCAATTGACATACTGAGTTAATTATTTTTATATATACATTTAGGAGTGGGGTTAGTGGATCACAAGTTAGGTCTATTTTTAATTTTTTGAAAAACCGCCATACAGATTTCTATAACAGCATATTACTTTAAAGAACTTCTTTTCTAATGCAAACGTTTTGTATTATTTTCACAAATTTGGTATATTGTGTTTTCACTTTCATTTAGTCCAAAATGCTTTCTAATTTTTCTTTTGCTTACAGATTATTTAGAAGTGTGGTAGTTAATTTTAAAGTATTTTGAGAATTTTCCAGATATCTGTCTGTTGTTAATTTCTAATTTAATTTCACTGTGTTTAGACACTTTTAAAATGTGATTTCAGTGCTTCTAAATTTGGTGATCTATGTTTTATGGCCAAAAATTCAATCTGTTTTACTGAATGTTTCATGTGGACTTGAAAGGAATTTGTATTTTGTGGTTGTTGGGAGGAACTCTTTTTTATCAAATTAGGTCAACTTGATTGAGTGTTGTTACAATCCTGTATAGCTTTAGAAATTTTTATCAGTATGTTCTATTAATACTGATAGAAAAGTATGGATTTTCATTTATAACTGCAAATTTTTCTACTTCTCCTTTTTGTTTGCTTATGTTTTCTACCTGCATTTTGACATTTTGTTATTAGATACTTAAATATATATGATTGTTAGACCCTCTTGAAAAATTGACCCCTTTGTCATTATGAACTGCCCATATTTTTCCCTGATAATATTCCATGTTCAGAAATATACTTTCTTATATTGTGGTAGGCAGAATGGTTCCCAGCAAAGAAATTCATGTCCTGAGCTCTGGAACCTTTGAACATGTAATGTTATGTGGCAAAAGGGACTTTCCAAATGTATTTCAGCTTATACTATCCATTTCTATTGTACTCTGACAAATTGCCATAGATGTAGTGTCTTAAAACCACACAAACTTATTATCTCAGAATTCTTTAGGTCAGCATTCTTAGGTACAGCATGGGCTTAGTGGCTCTTCTGCTTAGAGTCTCACAGGTTGAAATCAGAGTGTTAACAGGGCTGCATTCCTTTGTGGAGGCTCTGGAGATTAATCCGCTTCCAAGGTAATTTGGGCTATTGTGAAAATTTAGTTCTGTGGAATTGTAGGGCTGAGATTCCACCTCTCCTGCTTGCTATCAGCCAAGAATCTCAGCTTCTAGTGGTTGCTTGCATTCTTTGGTTCATGGTTCCTTTCCTTCCATCTTCAAAGCCAGCAATAGCAGGTTGAGTCCTAATCTGGAATCTCTCTGATTTCCACTTTCACCACATCTCTCTGACTTACTCTTCTCCCTTCCTGTTCTTCTTCTGAGAACTCCTGTGATTACTCTGGGCCCACTTGAATAATCTAGGATAATCTCCCTATTTTAAGGTTAGCTGATTAAGATCCTTAATTCCATCTGTAGAGTTCCTTCACAGTAGAACTTAGGTTAGTGTTTGATTGAATAACCAGAGGACAGGAATCTTTTAAGACATCTTTAGATTTTGCTTACCATGGTTAAAATAGGGAAATTAGCCTGATTTGTGTAAGTGGGGCTAGTCTAATCACATGAACTCATTTTTTGGGGGAGGACCTGGGATTGAACCTAGGGGCGCTTAACCACTGAGTTACATCTCCAGACCTTTTTTATATTTTATTTAGAGACAGTGTCTCTCAGAGTTGCTAAGTGCCTCCGTAATCTGCTAAAGCTGGCTTTAAACTCGGAATCCTCCTGCCTCAGCCTCCCTAGTTGCTGGGATTATAGGCTTGTACCACTATGCCTGGATAATCACATGAACTCTTAAAAGTAGAGAACTTTCTTTTCTAGGAAACAGGAGAGATATGGCAGGAGAATTCAGAAAAATTCCAAGTATGAGAAAGATTCAATATGCTGTTGCTGGCTTTGATATATAGAGGCCTATAGTATGCAATGGTGACCCCCAACTGATAGACAGCAAATGAACAGGGCTATCTGTCCTACAATCACAAGCAGCTCAATTCTTCAAAGAATCTGAAATGAACTTGGAAGCAGATTCTGCTTAAAGTCTCCTAGTATGAGCCCCATCAACAGACATCTTGGTTTTTGCCTCTGTTCTGAAACTCGAAGCAGAGAAAATGACCATACCCACTTGGCCTTCTGCCATACAGGTCAGTAATGTTATGGGCCAGGCTATATGGGCAATTACCAAACAGACTCCATTTTACCCTGAGAGTCATATTGTGTAAAAAATGCTTCTCCCATGGAAAAGCCCCACCTCTGTACCCATGAATAGTTACCTAGCATAGCATACTTGGCAACACAAAATAGCAATTGTTGTGGTAAAACTACCTGATTACTTGTAACAGTTCCCTCCTTGCTGCAGTAGCAAGAATGGAGTCACTATGGCTATAGGAGCAGGCAGGTATGGCTGTAGGGACTCCATGTCACCTGTTCTAGACTCCACCTTAGTTTTTCTGTCACTGCTCTGTGAAGAGACAACTGCAGGACCCATTTCTGAGAAAACAAAATGAAAGCTGTTTTCTGCTAAATTTAATATATATATATATATATATATATATATATATATATATATATATATATATATATATATATATATAGTCTTCTGTACTTTTTATCCCCAAAAATGTACTCAACCCAGGATATGGTGGTCTTGGTGACCTATATGACTTTGAAGTAGATTCTCGCCCCCACTGACCACCTGCTCGATGGTGTTCTAGCACCTTCTCTGACCCAAAATGTGGTTGACTAAGTTGTTCTGCTAACAGCTTTTTTTAGCTTCTGTACCTGCTTGCTTACAGCTATGTCAACCTGGATGTGGGTTTTGTAGTTTTTGCCTTTACATATCCTAAAATGCTCAAGCTCAGGGCTGTTCCTTGCAGAGACAGTTATGGGTCCTATGGAGAATAGTCACCAGCCTGCTGGCTAAATAAAAACTCTTCAAATTGGACAAAACTGGGACTTGTTGTGTTTTCTGAGTGACCTGCCCCACAACAAGTAAGATGAAATTTGTATTGTTTTAAGATGCTAAGTTTGTGATAATTTATTACTGCAGCAATAGAAGACTAAAACAGATACTAAGATAGTCGCTCCAGTTAGTATTTGTTTTGTACAACTTTTCTCAACCTTTTTAATTTTTTTAGTTGCAGATGGACCCATACCTTTATTTTATTTATTGATAATTATGTGGTGCTGAGAATTGAACCCAGTGCCTCACACATGCTAGACGAACACTCTGCCACTGAACCCCAACCCCAACCCCATCCTTTTGATTTTAATCAATCTGACTTTACAAAGTAGGTTTCTTTTAAGTAGTACATAGTTTTCTTGCTTCTTTATCCAATATAATAATCTTTGTCTTTATACCAATTTATATTTAACATAGCTATTGTCAGGGTTAGATTTTCACTACCTTCTTGCTTCATCCTGGAAAACACCTCCAGTCCATAAACTGGGACAGTTCTAGTGTTTATTCTGTTTGTTTCCCCCTCCTCCCTCCGTTCTTCCTCCTTCCTTATTCTTTACTGTCTGTCACCCAGTGTCTGCAAATGGGGGTTTTATTTATTTTGTTCAGTTCTTTTTTAACATGGGGAGATAAGTCCTATTTTTGATATTACATCTAGTCTGTGAGTAGAAATCTTCAAAAATATAATTTTTTTCTTTGATCCTAGGGATTGAACTCAGGGACACTGGACCACTAAGCCACATCTCCAGCCCTATTTTGTATTTTATTGAGAGACAGGGTCTCACTGAGTTGCTTAGCACCTCACTTTTTCTGAGACTGACTTTTAACTCATGATCCTCTTGCCTCAGCCTCCCAAGCCACTGGGATTACAGGCATGAACCACCACATTCAGCTGTAATTTCTAATTAATATTTTAGGACCTCCTTTATAGCAATTCCTTTTTATGTGAGATGTGAGTGTCTCTCTCTCTCTCTCTCTCTCTGTCTCTGTGTGTGTGTGTGTGTATGTGTGTGTGTGTGTGTGTTTACTCAGCCCTGGGAAGTATAATACAATTGCCAAAAATGTCTGTGCCATATGAACATAGCAGATGGTTGTCTTTTTACAAGTACACTAAAAAAAAATGGTGGGCTGGGGATGTGGCTCAAGTGGTAACGCGCTCGCCTGGCATGAGCTGGGCACTGCGTTTGATCCTCAGCACCACATAAAAATAAAGATGTTGTGTCCACCAGAAACTGAAAAATAAATATTTAAAAAAATTCTCTCTCCCTCCTCCCCCTCCTCCTCCTCCCCCTCCCCCCCTCCTCCTCCTCCCCCTCCCCCCCTCCTCCTCCTCCCCCCTCCCCCTCCCCCCCCCTCCTCCCCCTCCCCCCCCCCCCCCCCCCCCCCTCCTCCTCCTCCCCCTCCTCCTCCTCCTCCTCCTCCTCCTCCTCCCTCTTAAAAAAAAATGGTGATAGAACTTGGCCATATTCTAAACATGTCAACCTTTTACAGTCTCTGTGCCTTGGTATAAATAGTTCTTCTGCCTAGAATGCTTCCTCGACTTACTTCCTTTCTTCATAGAAGTATTCAAGTATCCTCTGGAAACAGCTCCATTGCCAACACTTCTCTGCTTCTCAGAGCTTCAGACAGAACTTGTATTTCCTCTTCCCAGCTGTTGTAACACCCTGCCTGTGGCACCAGTTCAGCAAAGGTCATTCTGTGTTTTAATTATGTGTTTCTTGTGGACTTCCTCCTACCAGGAAGCCCTAGAAGACAGGGAACTTACTTTAGTCTTTATGTTTCTCTTATCCCCAATAAAATATATCTGCTATCTAAAACTTTTCAATAAATGATTGTTGAATTAATGACATTTTATGTACTGAAATATATTGCTATTACTCCATCTCATTTGTGAAGGTGAGTCCCCTTTAATCATTTTACTTTTCTCCTAGTAAATTCCTCATCTATGCCTGTCTGCTGCTCTTCTCTGTGCTGCTGGCCCTTCGCCTGGATGGCATCATTCAGTGGAGTTACTGGGCTGTTTTTGCTCCAATATGGCTGTGGAAGTTGATGGTCATTGTTGGAGCCTCAGTTGGAACTGGAGTCTGGGCACGAAATCCTCAGTATCGGTAATAGTGCTTTATAAAACCCATTGGTCTCTGTCCTAAGGATATCTTGCTTTTCCTCACTTTTTTTTCATATTGTGAAATAATTAACATTTAAAAAAATTATTGTTCTGTTTTCCTCACTTTTGATAAAATGAGAACCATTCCTTTTCTACCTGTTTTGGGTTTTATAAGAACTATAGTACAGGCAAACTGAGAACCCTTTAGTGTATTTTTTTAATTGGGTGTTTGGTATTTATTTTCTTAAAAAAGCAATGCTAGTTTGATTGGCTAAGTGCCAAGCCAGCCCACAAGTGCCTAAATAATCCAAAAGGAAACCAAACTACAGAATTTTTATGCCACAGGTGACTAAACATAGTTCTAGCCTTGATTATCAGGGATTTGACTTTCTCCAGATAACTTTTGGAACTATAGCTCCCCTTGTCCTACTCTCCTAGCACTGGGGTTTTAGGACTGTTAATGACTTCTGGAAGGTGGTTTGGTGGGAAGACTATAAGTCCTTTAGATGGGAGCCGGGGGAATGAGAAAAGTTGAGAGTCATGTTGAGAAGGAAGACAGAGTTTTGGGGGTCACTAGAGCCGGGTACAGCCAGTGTTACTGAGCTCTGTGAGAGTATTTTTCTTCTCTTTCACAGAGACTGGAACTTCTTAAAGAAAAAAAGGGTGTAATGGGGTGTGGGGGCTATTTGGGAAGTGAAGCAATGCCTAGTAGGCAAGTAGGGAGGGGAGAAGGAGGTACAGGCTGCTATTCCTGGTTGAAGAGTATAGAAATTGGGGCCCCTTCAACTTTTAAAATTATTGGTTATGGACTATAACAAGAAGATTTAGATGGTGTAAGTATTATCTGTATCTAGGAGCTTTAAAATAGCTACACAAAGAGCCTTGGCAAGTCAGGGCTATTGATGTGTAGCTATTTTAAAGTCCTTATATCTTTCAAAAAAGATTGATTACCTATATGGCTGCACATCTTTTCCTTTTTATGAGATAGTATTAGATATTTAATGTTTATTCCTGAAATAATTAAAAGTTAACTATTATTTTAGGTTTCAACAATTGATATTTAGAAGCTATTCGAACCTCTTATCTGTTGTTTTAAGACTTTTTGAGCAAGGAAAAGAATTATGTGTTTGGTTAAATATATGGAATGTATAGATATGGTCATTCCAGTGTTAACATTAACTGGTGGAACACTGTTGGTCCTAAGGGAATAAACATTGACCTTGTTTTCTCTGTGTTCTAATCTCAGGTGTGTTTATCACTGACAAGACATGTATATCAGAATGTTCGTGTATATTTTGACTAACTATTGTAGGTCTTTTAAATGCATTATAAAGCATGTCTTGATTTGTGGCTTTACCATTTTTCAACTGTTAATATATTAAGTTTGTGCTTGAATTGAATTAGCTAATTGAACTAATTTTGTTTGAGAACGATTTTAACTATTTTGTTCCTTATCTTTCATCTGCAGGTTTTAATACATCCTAATGGAAAAGAAAGGAAAATAAAAAGACATTTAAACTTTTAATTTGTATTTTAAAGTAGCACCTAACAAATAGTTACCATATCTTGTTGAGAATAAACCACACTTGTTCATAAAGCTAGATTTATTTTTGTAGTATTGCTTTTAATTCAATGACAAATGAAAATCATAGACTGAAGAGATGTTTGTCATTTTTTAACAGTAGAAGCAATCAGTATAAATAATCTTAGAAATAATTCTTGTAGTTGAATTTAAAGTTATGAACAAAAGTATATACATTGTCTGAGAAATAATTGTTGCTATTACTTCTGTGAATATCTTACTAAAGATCAGGTTTAACTTAGCTTTCTACCAGATTTTCATTTTCTTTTTGACAAATTTATAAGTAAAATTCAAAGTGCCAGCGTAAGTTGGTATTCACCATGGATTGCTTGCTTATAAATGGAGATTCTGAACTGAGGGTCTTTTGTCTTTTTCTTCTTCTCTCCCTTTTTAGAGCAGAAGGAGAAACGTGTGTGGAGTTTAAAGCCATGCTGATTGCCGTGGGCATCCACTTGCTCCTGTTGATGTTTGAAGTTCTGGTCTGTGACAGGATCGAGAGAGGGAGCCATTTCTGGCTTCTGGTCTTCATGCCACTGTTCTTTGTTTCTCCAGTGTCTGTTGCAGCTTGTGTCTGGGGCTTTCGACATGATAGGTCACTAGAGGTAAGAGTTAATATATTTAAGAATGTTTTCAAAACAGTCGTTTGAATGTCAGCGTCTTGCCCTTTGTTAGGAAGAGATTGATTGTTAACTCTAGATCATGCCATATGTGGCAACAAAATACAATGGAAATAATTGTTGCCTTTCTTGACACCAAAGTGTAGCTGTCCTCTGCAAGGCCATTAGCCTTCTCCCAACTTCCTGTTTTCCAATCCACTTGCATTACCAAGGCCTCTACAGAGATAGAGAACTCATAAGATAGATATAGATGTAAAACAATAGATTTTAGCTGAATCTAGTGGTGTAAACCTGTAATCCCAGTGACTCAGGAGGCTGAGGCAGGAGGATCACAAGTTCAAAGCCAACTTTAGCAACTTAGTAAGACTCTCAGCAACTTAGCAAAATCCTGTCTCAAAATGTCAAGAAAAAGGATTGGATTTAGCTCCATGGTAAAGCACCCCCGGGTTCAGTCACCAGTAACAACAACAAAAAAAGATAAATTTGAAGGACCTGGCATATACACAATTGTGGGATTGGCAAGTCTGAAATGTCTAGAGACTTGATAGGAGATGAGACTGCAGTCCTGAGGCAGAATTTCTCTCTGGAAAACCTCAGCGTTGCACTTAAAACATTCAGCAGTTTGGATGAGGCCCACCCACATTACTAAGTGCAATCACCTATATTTGAAATCAATACCTTCACAGCAACACCCAGTTTAAAGTTGGATTAAATAACTGGATACTAGTTGGGCACAGTGGCACACGCCTATGATCCCAGCAGCTCAGGAGGCTGAGGCAGGAGGATTGCAAGTTCAAAACAGCCTTAGCAATTTAGTGAGACCCTAAGCAATTTAGCAAAACCCATCTCTAAATAAAATATTAAACATGCCTGGGGATGTGGCTTAGGGGTTAAGCACCCCTAGATTCAGTCCCTGGTACCAAAAATAAAATTACTGAGTACTATAGCCCAGCCAAGTTGATTCATAAAGCTAAAAATCACACTCCAAATCCCAGGCCCTGTACACATAAGCTGAGGGCCCAAAGCTGTGAGCTAATGTGTTGAAGAGATACTGGAGACAGTGCAAGAGGCCACCTTATCCACGGTTTCACTTTGCTTGATTTCAGTTACCTGTGATTAGCCAATGTCCAAAAATCTAATAGACTACAGTAACATTTTAATAATATAGTTCATTACTTTTATTACAATATATTGTTAGAATTGTTCTATTATTAGTTTTTTATTAATCTTTTGCTATGCCTAATATATAGAGTAAACTTTATCATAGGTATGTATATATTGGGGAAAAAAACAGAGTATGTCATTTTGGCACTATCTGTGGTCTCAGGCATCCTCTGGGAGTCTTGGATCATAACCCTGTGAATAAGGGAGAAAAACTTTAGGTGCCTTGTGGAAGAGAATTATAGGAAGGAGACTGATATTGGTTTGGAAGGGAACATAGGAGCTGTAGGGTAAGCCTTAGCTTTAGGTGTACTTTTACCCCAGGTGTAGGTTTGAGAGGAAATTGCTGAGAGAGAGAGAGAGAGAGAGAGAGAGAGAGAGAGAGGTGCTGATGGAACAAGGCACTGTGAGATCCAGAGGGAACAGAATTAAGAAAACCAGGAAGGGCTTGGCCTTGAAAGGGGTGATCTTCCCCTCTAGAACTGGCAGAAATCTTAGCATTGGATGTGGCTGATGGGTAGATGTGGACTATGAAAGTAGGTACTTCTCTCAGCCTACCCTCACCACCCCTGCAGTTCCCTAATCGTTTGACAAGTCAGCTACTTCTCTTCTGCACTGCTTCTCTCTAGCTGATTGCTGGGGACTGCTAAAGAAAGTCACCTGACTCATAGACTAAGTCACCATCTTGAGCCAGACCATGCATTAACAGAGCCATAGCACTCAGGCCCCCAAAGGGTAAAGATTGGTTTTGGGATAAAGGTGGGGAAGGTCTTACTTCTCACCCATGGCCTGCTTGGGAGGGAATAAGTAACCCTTGATGGTGTGGGCCTCCTGGAAATAAGTGTCTGAAGAAGAGTATTAAGAAATAATGCAAAAGACACAGAAAATATTTTTTAAAGTAAGTGCTTGGTGGGTGGAAAAGACCTGATGGGTCTGATCTTAATAAATGGGAAAAGCCCACAAATGCTTTGTTTGTAGTGAAACACACCAAAGGAACTTATTGTGAGAAGGGGTTCTTCAAGGTAAACAAGAAGTAAGAGGCTGTGGGAAGTTGGCCTGGTTGGGGCCTTATCACTTGCACAGTAATTCTTCCTCCTCCAGGCAGCTGGTGCCTCAAGGCTATTTAGGCTGCACTGGTATCTCTTTTACCCAAGGCTAGCAGGCATATAAATTCAAGGCCATGAACTCATGAATTCCATGCCGGGAATGAGCCCCATTAACACCCATTAACACCTGCACTTGCAAATGGGTGTATCTTTCTACACCTTTGCATGGGAAGATTCCAAGATGCTGCAGTCAAGCTGTCCAAGGCTATGGAGTTCAAAGCAATAATTTGTCACTCCCAACACTTACTCTTTCTATGAATAAAGTGCAGGCATGCATGCAGTACATTACCTACCAAATAACTGGTATTAAAATTTCATGAGGGGTACAATTAGAAAACAAATTTATAATGTGGCTTCTTGGAATGCAGTAATTAAAGTGAAGTTGAGCAGCATTGAACAGACCCTCATGGTATCTGTGCAGCCTGGTAATATCTGTATGTGTATCGTATTCCAGGGCCATTCACAAACACTCTGCCCATCTGAAAGACCAGTCTGTTTTCTTCCTTCCCTCTTTGTGGACATATCCGTTCAGTACTCTGGATCTTAGCCAAACTTACACCAACTTTGCTCTCTGTCATCTGAAAAAGAAAAGAAAGCAGCTAGAGCAAGCCCCTCTGAGGCCTGGGTTCCACTCTCATGCTTTCTCCTTCCTGTTCACAGGCGAGCTTCTTGAAATCTGCTATTCTATCCTTAGTGCTCTGTTACTTTCTCCTGATCTCTGCTCAGCCCTGTTTTCAGGGAACTGGCATGAGTGCCCAAGGCCAAGTTCCAGTGGGCATCGGGTAGTCCTCGTCTTTTTCGTCCTGGGCTTCCAACACTGCAGAGTGTTTCTTGACTGGCATTTCCCTGGCTTCTGATCCTTGGTCCCTCTGGCTGCCTCTGGCTTGAATTCCTTTGCTGAGTTCTTCCTCCCCCTACTCCTTATGAATTGCTATTTCTTAACATTTCTCTTTCTCCTCACTATTTTTACTTAATTGGAATGATCTTCTTGACATGCCTGCTTTTGCTAACCCTCAGGAAGCTATTGCCACCTAAATTCCTATTTCAGAACTCACTTTTCTGCATCAGCTCAAGATTTCCTCCCTCTTGGACTCCAGAGTAGCTCATATGTGACTAGAGCATAAAGATGGAAGTCCACACTTCTGGGGGAAAGGAAACCTGCACACAGGTGTGGGGCTAAACAAGCTACACCCTCATCACTCAAGGCATGCTCCAGGCACCTTAGCGTACTCAAGGGGCACCAAGGATAATGGACACTTTGAAGGAAACACCGATCCTTGACATCTGTTGGGATACCACACAAACCACTAGCTCAGTTTTATTTGTATTATTAGTTCACACCCATTCCTTTTGAATACTGTATCTTTAAAGAGCTGAGTTTTTGGAAGTTGCTATGATTAGAAGCTAGCACTAATGGGAAAATGCAGCAGAAGAATGGGTAATGAAAATGGAAGTGCCATATCTAATTCCAAGATTTGGGAAATTGTGCACCACCTAGCAGGCACAAAATCTCAGTAGGAATATGTTTTGTGTGCTTTTTAAAAATAATATAATTATATTTTTCTTTTGACTTAGGTGATTTATTTATTTTTCAAAGTGATTAGTATGGAAATACTAAATTTATACCTAATTTCCTAATTCAATGGAACTATTAGTTATTTCTTTTGGCCAAGAGATCTGTGAAAGAATTACAAAGTCACCAAATGTCCTATGGACTGAGAACTTTGGGGAATCTCTGGGCCAGGTCACAGATTTTTGTTCTATAGACAAAGACAAGGACTTTCTCCAAAAAGAAGAGCACCCCAGAGGCCATTTGAACAGAGGGTCATCCAGCTAGAGCTGTGAAAGTATTGCGGGGTTGATGACATTGGAGGACTAGTGAGGTAGTCCTGATCAGGATAAAGAGTGGAGGGCAGGCTCAAGAGAAGTTTAGATAGGAGAATGGACAGGTGCTGGTGACTGAATATGAGTGTGGGGGAAAAAACAGAGGGCACTTCCCAGGTTTGTGATTTGGGGAATCAGGATGCTATGGTGACTTACAGTTAAAGAAAGGAGAAGGACAGGGTTTAAAGTGCTGGGGGTAACAAGCTCAGTTGGGGATCAGCTTCATTCATAATGCCCCTAGGAAAGCCTAGTTCCTAGTGGCATCTGTTGCAGCTGGGTCTGATGCACAGCAGGAAGGCTAGCCTGGAGAACCGACCACTAGGCCGTAATACAAGCTGGGGAGTGACTGAAACTTCTCAATACCCAGAATGGAGTGAATGAAAAGGCTGAGTTTTAGGTTCTGAGTAGCATCAGAAAGAACCTAAGAAGAAAGGAGTGTCAGAGCACTTAGAGGTTGCCAAGACTATGTAGTGGAATCCTTGAAGTTCTGAAGGAGAGGTACAAAAAGAAAGGAATAGTCAGCCATAGCATATGTGAAGAGACATTTAGGAGGATGTGAGTGTAAGTGTTCTGCTGCCTCCTGGTATTGGTGACATTGATGAAGGAAGTTTCCTGATTGGGTGGTGATGTAGGCAGAGGCCAGATCACATGGTGGGGGGATTAGGATGGTAGTAAGGCAGTAGGGGCTCATATAACCATTTCTTTCTCACAAAGCTGGGCTCTAGTAGAAAAAGGAAGTAAGGCTGAGAGGGTTACTGAATCATGGGGGGTGGGATTATTTGGAGTTGGGGTTGCTTTTGCTTTTAATGGGAAATGTTTAACTTGTTTCTTGCTGGAAAGCATCAAAGACATAGTTAAGATAAATGATGCAGTAAAAAATCTATAATTAATGGCTTGATATGACAGGGTCTTCAAGGAGCTGAAAAGGAAGGTATGGGATGTAGGGTTGAGTCCTGGATATAAGAAAAACGAACTACAAGGGTGGTTATAAATAGAGATGATTGTAGATAGGGACAGGAAGGAAGCATGGGGAGTCCACTGTGGATTGCCTTTCTTTCTCACTATACCTAGAAACAAGATCATCATTGAGCCAGCAATGATCAGGCCTTTACTCAAAAAAGGCCAGGGCAAGCATTAAGCAGAGGGATGAGGTAGGAGCGCATTTCTCTTTGGTATAGCATTGCTGTGCTCTTCTCATGTGGAAAATCAGGAGTTTCCAATGTAATGCGATATAGTTTTACTGTATTACAGTTTGCATTGCCTTTTAGTGTGTTAACCAAATAACTGTAGTATTGAATGCAACTTATAGTTTAACTGATTCTTCTCTTCATTTGTAGTTAGAAATCCTGTGTTCTGTCAACATTCTCCAGTTTATATTCATTGCCTTAAGACTGGACAAGATCATCCACTGGCCCTGGCTTGTATGTAACTTTTTAAATCCTTAAATAAATGCTTTCATTATAAAAGTAATTCATGTTCATTGTAGGAAACTTGGAGAAGACAGACAAGTATAGGTAATAAACTAATAATCACCTATAATACTGTCACTAGGAGATAATATGATTAGTATTTTATATTCCCTTGTTTTATATAAAAATTATACTGCATGTAAAGTTTTATATCCTGATTTTTTATATAAATTCAGTTGATTCATTCTTCAGTTATATCTATCAGACTATCATTTATAAATAATTCTGTTGTTGCCAGTGTTTGCAGTTTTAAAATATGCTGCATTGGCAATATACATTTACATTTACATATATGTGTGTGTAAATATATATATATATACACACACATATATATATATATCATATATATATTCACATATATGTATTTAAGTTTTTAAAAGTTTTAATTGACATATAATATGCATATTTAGGGGTGCAGTGTGACATTCCAATAGTGTTTTCAATGGGTAATGATCAGATCAGTATATTTGGCATATCTGTTACCTTAGACAGTTATCATTTCTTTGTGTTGGGAACTGTCAGATTCCTCTACTAGCAGCATGAAATATTCAATCTATTTTTGTTAACCATAGTTATCTTACTATACTATAAACATTTATACTCCTGCATAATCTGAAGTATATAATTTGATGCATAAAAATTCTTGTTGGTATGTTTACTCTCTCCTTAGGAATTTCTCCAGAAACAGTATTACTGGGCTATGGGGTTGGAGATTTTTAAGATTCTTAAATACAAATATTATGCTGCCACCTTGCTTTGTCAAAAACCTGTACCAGTTTACACTCTTGCTAGGGGTGGGATCATAACTCAAGCTTCTATACTGTGTTTTCATTTAATGCATATCAGGTTAAAATTGACTGTGAATGAAGGTGTGCATGTGTAGATGGAGGGAAGGATACACAGGTAAATTGCAAGCCACAAATTAGAGAATGTAGTGTTGTTTCAACTAGTGAGTGCATAGAAAGAAGATTGGGAGCAAAGGCAGGAGTATGCCATGGCTTCCCTGCTGCTTGATTGTGCACTTTTGCATACAATACCAAATAAAACATATAGTTAAAAAAGAAAAGTATTCATTTCAGTACATGGAAGAAAATAAGGGAGCATGGACTCCAAAGTATAAGGAAATATGAGATTTACCTCTTTCACCCAAAGTCTTTGATAAAACGTAATGAAAAATGTTGCTTAGGCATCCATCCTACATCTTCAGGGTAATATAGCTAGAAAATGGTAATTTGATTGAAAACTGCTTCCAGCCAAGACAAAGCTCTTAGTATAAGGTACAATCAGGAAAAAAATAGATTTGGAATTTTGAATATATTTGCACAAGTGAACACAGGGATTTTAAACCCTCAATCCTGTATAGCTTCTAGTGCATGAAGCAGTCGGATTACATATCTCCCAAGTGAAAGCAAATGAGGCTATTAAGATCCCTGTCATGCCACCCATGAAAGGAAATCCAATAAATAAGTCATCACAGTTGTGCTTTAGAAGGAGAAAGACAAACTACATATAGTTTTTAGCAGAACTTACAATCAAGAACTTCAAGCTAATCAAGAAGAGGAAAAAATCATCTAACAATTAAAAATCATAGATCTAAAATTAAAATGTACACCTCTAGAACTATTAGAAGAAAAGATAGGACAAAAATTTTAGAGCCTACAATTAGGTGGAAAGTTTGTAGAAATGGTGCTGATAGGGCTGGGGCTATGGCTCAGCAGTAGTGCACTTGCCTGGTATGTGTGAGACTGGATTTGATTCTCAGCACCACATATAAATAAATAAATAAAATAAAGGTCTATCAACAATTAAAAAAAAATAAAAGAAATGGCGCCAAAATGTGGTTCACAAAACAAAGAAAGAGAAACTCAGAATTCCTAAAATTAAAATGAAATGAAAGACAAGTCACAGACTGGGAGACACATTTTTTAACTATCAAAACTTTTTCTTGCATTCAAAACATAGGAAGATTACTAAAAAAAAAAAAAAAAAAAAAAACCCTCAACAATGAGAAAACAAACACCTGATTTAAAAATTGACAAAATTGTGAATTGAACAGATAATTTACAAAGAAGATATATACATGATTACTACGCAAAACCATGGTGAGGTCCTTCTACACGTTAATCACAGTGATGAAAAAAAAAATCTGGCAATAGCAAGTGCTGGAGATACTGCAAAGAAAGGGGCATATTCTTGCATTACTGCCAGGAAAGCAAGACTGTTTAGGCACTCTGAAAAGTAGTTTGGCAATTTTTATATAGTTAAACATGTACTTACCATGTGATCTAGCACTACAAATATAAAGCCACACAAAAACACAGATATAAAGCCTTATAGTGGCACTGATGGTGATACAAGGAGTTAGAAACTAACTTCAGCAAGTAGTGTGATAAACTGGTCATCCATATAGTGGAATGTCATTAACAATGAAAGGGAACAACCTGTGGCTATATGAAGAGCTTAAATGAATTCCAAAGACATTATGCTGATTGGGAGAAGCTAGTCTCAAGTACTTGGTATATAATCCCATCATACAACATTCTCATTTAGAAAAACAGATCACTAACAGATTAGGGTTCTGATGGGGTGATAAAGTAACAATGAAGGAGCAGCATAAGGAAGTTTTATAGGGTGACAGTACTATTATATGTGCTACCTACAGCTATACATATGTGCACTTGTTAGAACTCTTTTAAGTCTATGCCCCAAACCAATCAGCTCTATTGTATGATCCCTAAGGAAAGAAAGGAACAAGGGAAGAGTAGCCTGAGGGGTCAGGGTAGGAGGGTGGGGAGATGTCAAGGGAGGCTGGCCAGGCTATGCCCCCAGGGCTTCTCCTGTGGGCTCAAGTGTGGGTAAGGCAATGTCATTCTGCTGGGACCAATACATACAGACACAGAGCATGCCTGGCATGGTGGCAAGGTTGGAGTAGCGCGATGCAGCCAGCGTGAATCTGCCAAGGTCACTAACTTGGAGGGGGTATAGGATCTCTAGAAGCCTAGGCGGCTAAAGGTGCTGGAGGACGTGGTCCCAAAGGTGTCCTCAAGTTCTTCCAGCAGGTTGTAGATATTTGGTGTGGTGAGAGTGTGTGAGGTGTGCGCACAGGGGCCCAGGCAACCCTGGTCCCTGCAGTACCTGCGATGCCAGCAGAGGCAGGCGGGGCCAGACTGCATGTGTGAGAGAGGGGAAGTGGGGGTGAGTGGGAAGCGGGGACTGGGGCGCTGAGCACAGGAGTCCTGAGTGAGGGAGTGCGGACTCTGAGTGAAGACTCTAGGAACCCAGAGGCCAAGGCCCAGAAGCAACACCTTTCCCCAAAGAAGAGGCGCCTGGGACATAGCGTTTCCTGCAGCAGGCCCCGTGGTGAACATGCTGCAGGTTTCTTTCCCATGCTGCCCTCACAGCAGTGCTGGGCAATGGGACTGTCCTCAGTCAGGCTTGCACTGTCTTAACTGAGAGACCAGCAGGGTGGTGACAGTGGCACCCACTGGAGGTTGGGCAGAAGCTCTAAAGACATCTGCTGTCTGCTTCTCCCCGCAGGTGGTGTGTGTCCCCCTGTGGATCCTCATGTCCTTTCTGTGCCTCGTGGTCCTCTATTACATCGTGTGGTCGGTCTTGTTCCTGCGCTCCATGGATGTGATTGCAGAACAGCGCAGGACGCACATCACCATGGCACTGAGCTGGATGACCATCGTCGTGCCTCTCCTTACTTTCGAGGTAAGCACCTGGGAAATCTGTCCGGCCCGCAAGCCCACCCTCCCCCATGACGACATCCTGCCTACCTGGAAAGGCAGCCCGCCAGCCCTCGACATGGTGGTGTGCCCCGTGGAGGTCTGCAGAGAAGGGCAGGGACATGGGCAAGTCCTCTCTTTCTCCTAGGCACGGGGCGGAGAGCAGTGCACCTCTCCAGCCACCATGCATCTGGAGGCGTGCACCTTCTGCTTCTAGGAAGGGAGAGTTTGAAGTCATCACTATGTATTGGAGTCCCGTAGAGAATTCTACAGTGGACACAGTTGGCTTCTTACAACCAACACCAGGAATGTTTCCCATGAAACCCCTGGTGGTGACAGTTTTCCAAGTGGGTGGACTTTTGCTTGGTCCTGAACAAGCAGGCCAGCGGGCGGGCACCTGGTTGCTCCCCACGGGAAGCATGCTTTTCTGCCCTTGCCAGGTGACTCTCCCTCTTCCGAGACCTAATAAGGGAGGAGGTGTGTAGTGGGGCAGCTTCAGACTTTGTTCCTTTCCAAGTGACACATTGACAGGACCCTGACTGTGTCTCTTCTCTAGATCTTGCTGGTTCATAAACTGGACGGCCACAATGCTTTCTCTTGCATTCCAATATTTGTGCCCCTGTGGCTGTCGTTGATCACACTGATGGCAACCACATTCGGACAGAAGGGCGGAAACCACTGTACGTACTCTGTGCCTGAGAAGCACTGGGGAGGGGTGTGTGTGTGTGTGTGTGTGTGTGTGTGTGAGAGAGAGAGAGAGAGAGAGAGAGAGACAGAGAGAGAGAGAGAGAGAGAGAGAGAGAGAGAGAGAGAGAAGGGGGAGGGGCTCTGCTCTATGGAAGGATGAGTCAGAGGGCTCTGATTTAGGAATAGCCATGGGGACTCTAGGGCTGAAGAAGGTCAGGCACCTCCCAAGGCAAGGCCAGCTGTCACCCTTGCTTTGTACTGGCCTGCACCCCAGCTCTCCTCCAGGCCGTGCATGCCTTGATTACAGGCAGGACCATATAAGGCAGGCTGGCTCTCCGAGCTCCTGTGCCCTCCTCTGCAACCCAGGTCTCGTGAGGCTAGATGAAAAGTCCTCGTCTGCCCAGAGAACCTGGGGAATCCTCCCAGGTCTCTTTTTGTGCCTCCCTTCCCCAGTGTCAGTCTGGACATCACAGATTCTGCTCAGTTGTACGTGGCCAGAACACTCTGCATCTCTTCCTGCATGCTGACACATGGATTCAAAATCATGTTTGCAGAGGGTCCTACCTCACAAGGCAGTGAGCACCAGTGCATGGACCCCAGAGCACTGCCCTTGCGGAAGCTCGGGGCACTGCCAAGAGCAGCCCAAGCTGCTGCTTTGCTGCTCTTGCCCTGGGAGAGCCAGCACTGAGCCAAGTCTCCTGAGATGCAGAGAGGGAGAGCTGACCTCAGGGAAGTGACTTTGAGGAGGGCCCATGAGCGGTAGTTCATGTGCTCTAGTGCCCAACCGAATCCCTGGAGGGCCAGCTCAAGTGGTGTTCCTGGCCCAACCCTAGCCCAGCCCACCCCAACGCTTCTGAATCAGGAAGGCTAACCCCTGAGCCGCAGAATCACATCCTAAGAGCACCCCAGGAATGCCCTTGCCGAGAATTTGGATCCTCACTTTGAGAACCTTGGAGCTGGAGGGATTAATTCTTCCTCCACTGGCCCTGCAGAGCCTGGTCGGCCATCATCTCCGAGGAAGCTTGGGAAGCATTACATAGTGAGGGTAAAGCTTCCTGTTGAGTAAAGAGAACAAGAAGGAAATCCACGGAGACTAGCATTTGAAAAGGAAAATTCTTCTTTTTCAGGGTGGTTTGGTATTCGCAAAGATTTCTGCCAGTTTCTGCTTGAAGTCTTCCCATTTTTGAGAGAGTATGGAAACATTTCCTATGATCTCCACCATGAAGACAACGAAGAAACTGATGAAATCCCAGCTCCAGAGCCTCCTAAAATCGCCCCTATGTTTCGCAAGAAGGCCAGGGTGGTTATTACACAGAGCCCTGGAAAATACGTCCTGCCCCCTCCCAAGTTAAATATCGAAATGCCAGACTAAAGGACACCGGCAGGGCCAGAGCATGAGTGGACTGGGACGCACGCTCTCTCCCTCCCTCTGCCTCTCCTTCACCCTCCTTCCCCGAGACCCCGAGTGGAGCTGGGCCTCTAGGGATGTCCATCTCATGCCTCGTTTGCATTCAGTGCCAATCAGCTGCTCACCACGTCGGGATACAGAGGTGGCGGGGAGGGTTGGGGGTGTCTGTGGATATGATGCCAGGGGCCGCGAAGGAGAGAGAAGAACCGAATTCCATGAGAGCGGGTGTCTTAAGGCACCTTCTCTTGCCCATGGTACCACCTGGGAATGGCTGCTCCTGAGACCTGCAGGGGGAGATTCTGTCTACAGGACAGCTTCACAGGGCTGAAATTCCTGTGGCAAGTGTTGGTGGAAGTGGTTTCCTACAGGGCCGCCTCCCTGGACAGCTCCGAGCTGTCCCGCTGCAGGTCGGCAGTGGGGACTGTAACTGGGTCTGAGTGTACCTGGTGTTTCCGCACAGCCCCGCCGCCATGCTTAGCCCTGTCCCTGCAGTGGAGGGCTTTCCCTTTGGGCGTGCTGACAGTGGTTTCCACGGCCGCCTCCGTGAGCCCTTCCCAGTGGAGTGACTCCATGCCTGTACAGTATTTATACGGATATTTTAGCATTGTAATGTACAGTGTCAAATCCTAGTTCTGTACAGCGTACTCTGTTAAAAGTATTTTTTTACAAGCTTGTGCCCGAGACGGACGTGTTCTGCTGCAGAAGTTGGAGTCGGTGCCAGCCCTGCCCCACCTCAGAGTTGTGCCGGGCCTTCACAGGACATCACCACTTACACCTGGAATTCTGTCACGTGCATAGCCCTGCTCCTGCCAGCAGAGCCACAGCAAGCAGGAAATGACCTGTGTGTTTCCTCACGTTGGGGAAATCAGGCTGGGAATAACCTAGAAAGCAGTGCTCGGGCCAGGACACGAGGGAAGGTTGCCAGGAGCAGACACATTCACAGATTCCCATGGGGGCTGGGGTCTGTAGCATTCTGCCTGCCGGCAAGGAGAGCACCTTACACCTGGCCAGTGCTGTCACCTGTGAGCACAGTTTCTCTCTCCTCTGCTGTGACAGCCCAGAACACGTCCAGTCCTGCCAGTGGAGTAACGTCCAGTCCTGCCAGTGGAGTAGCCTTCTGCCGAGAATCAAATAGGTCCTTCGTGCAGGTGGGTGGAGAGGACCATTGACGAGCCCGCTCAAGAGGCAAGTGCAGGTTTTCATGTGGGCAACTGCTAAATGGCCTCAAGCAGGCCTAATGGAAGTCCATCACGTCCCTGACTCTGCCGCTGGCGCTGGCCTGTTGCCAGTCTGCTATGTTTCAGAGGAAAGGGGGGAATGGTGTACCTTTCCTGCTTGGTGTGTAAAAAATGTAGTTATGTCCACTATTTTTGCTCCCTGTAGTTGCTCAATAAACCAGTTCCTTGTTTTACATACTCACCGAGTACACCTTGTTTTGTAGACAGCCGGGGAACGGGAATTGCGCTTAGCCAGTGGCAAAGGCAGCCGAGACTGGCAGGGGTGTGGGAATGTCCTTTATAAGGAGTCTCTCCATGAGGGACAGTGCCAGGGGTGTGCAGAGGGAAAGAGGGAGTGGTCAAGATTCTGTGGTTGTCTCGGTGATGCCACACTGCCGTTGTTAGATCTCAGGAGGTTTTGCTCAGTGTCCCTGGGCTGGCTGGCACTGTACACGTGGAATTGCCTTTGTAGTGGCCCTGGGGTACTCACTTTGATCGTGTGGGTAGCAGAGAGTTGCTTACCTCCCAGATGCTCTGTGTTTCCCTCTCGCCCGAGCTGCCCCTCCAGTTCAGTGACAACTTAACTCGGGTGGCCTTTCAGAAAAGGAAAGCCACAGTTGCTGCTGGTTGAAGGCTTTCCCACAGGCAGCACAGGGCACACATGAATCCTTCCTTCTTGAGCACATTGGATTTCAGACTCGCTGTGCAGAGGAATGCCTTATTAATTAACGTCGGAGGCTGTGACTCAACTGCCAGGTGCCGTGCTGCTCCTGTGTGCCCCTCGAATCCCCGACCCTGGGAGGCAGATGCCAAAACTCTTCTCCCTGTGAGGAAATGGAGGCCAGGAGAGGTCAGTTAATGTGTCCAAGCACACAGGTAGGAAATCCTGGGTAAAGATGGTGACATGGGCTGTCTGCTTGCACATCCCAGACCCTTGCCCACTGTGCCCTGAACCTCAGGCCCTGGCGTCCAGAGGTCCCAGGCGTGGAGAACTTATTGGTTCCTGGAAATGCCTGGAAGACCATGGAGTGCCATGCCCACAGTGGAGTGGGGACAGTCTGTGGGAGGTGGCCTTGCATGTGTGGCCAATGTGATTTGGAGGTAGCTTCAGATGGGACGTTTCCCTCTGGACCGTCCGGTGCTACACTGCACAAGAATGACTGCAGAGATCTAACGCTGGGCATAAACCAACACTTGTCCATATGGATGTGTTTCTTGGTCAGGGTTAATAAGACCTGTATGTCAAGCGAAATGGCAGATGACCTCTACCACGCGGCCTGCGCAATGGTTTCATTAATGAGGTTCTAGGCATAAAGTTAGTTAGAAGAGATCGAAATAAAACACACAGACTCAGTTACCTTATTTCTATTGCCAGGTCCGAGGCGGCTCCCCTCTCTGGCTCCGACCTCTAACCGCCCAGCAGGGCAGCAAGGATTACTCAGGGCTAGCAGGAGAGAGAGAGAGTGAACACGCCAGGGAGTAGCCTTTTATTGGGGAACAAGAAATTCAGGGGAGAATTCCATCCCATGAAGGTTGAGGGGGGACTGCACTCCAAGGTCAGGGTCAGTGATTGGGCCCCCGGGGTCAGTGGTCAGTCACACCCCCACACGGACGGGTTCTCTCATCAGGAAAGGGCCGGGAAAATTCCGACACAGCCAGAACGCCTCAGACCCTTAACGGGAGTCGCCCAGTCACGTGTCAGGATGGCTTCCCACAATGACCTGGCCCACCATGACTGCAAAGACCCACACGGTCTGTGTGGTGGGGCACGGGTACAGACTGAGGAGAGGCAGGGAGCAGGACACCTACACCCCTGTGGGCTGTGACATTAACAGGTCATCCGTGTGCTCAAGTGGCGACCTGCCTGCCATTTGTCTCCTCCCGACCAACATGTTACGTGACTATGTTAACAGGGTCTCTGTGGAGGATGTCACTGGCCCCTGTGGCTGGGAGTGTCAAAGGATGGCGGGGCCGCAGCTGGAAACATGGGAGACATCCTAGAATCGGCTGTGCATCAGGAACATCGATTCTCTCGAGGAACGTGTGTGTGGCCAGTAGGTTGGGAAGGAGCACCCCACCTTGTTAGTCCTTCCTGGACCCTGTTGGCCAAAGGAGCTGGAGGAAATGGGGGCCGTCCATGGCTCATCCTTAAGGTTTGGCAGGTTACCTTGAACACTAATGGGCACTGCTGAGATCTTTCCTGTGGAGATGCCTTTGTGTGGACCAGAGTGTCCGTGGCTGGTGGTCTGCTTGGGCTGTTTATGAGAACACTGGCCAGGCAGGTTGTGATGTCACCTCCAAGGAACCCGAGACCCCTTTTGATGTCCTGGGGTGGCGTTAAGATCAAATCGAACCAAGGACAAGCCGTCAGTGAGTATGGCTAGGTGTGAGGTTCAGGATCCGAGAGGCCAGGGTTCTGGCCCAGGCCCAGGAGTGTGCCTTTTCCTCAAGTGCCTATAGCGGCTGCGGCGCCTGCTACCACTGTGGCCATGCTCCCTCCTCTCTGCATTTCACCATGCTGCTGTCCCAACTGCTACTGTGTCTCAGAATACATGCCAGGCACCAGCAGTGGTCTGATGTATCCCCCCTGGTGGACCACCAGAGGTGAAAGCAAGCATTGAGTCAGAACACATGCTGGACAACAAAAAGCACCAGAAACCCACGAGAGATCTGCGTGCACAAAAGTGCCCAAGGTATCTGTCATGTCTTTCTTCTCAGTTTTCGCAACACCCTGGGCTATCTTTGGCTCTCAGGGTAAATAAAGACTTTAGCACCATGAGGCCCTGGAGTAACGCAGGGACCAAGACAAAACTCCAGTGGATTAGGGTTCAATTCAGTTCCCCAGAGAGGAGAAAACCAGAGAGGGCAGAGTAGAATCAACAGGAAGCGCACTTGGGGATAGCATGGCACTGGAAGAGCCAAGGTTGCAGCGGAAATTCATGGGCCGCAGCAAACTGCGTGCAGATTCCAAGAGTGAGGTCAGGCAATGGACGTTCCGCGAGGTGACAAAGACGAGGATGATGCGTGGAAACTAGACATGACAATGTCTCTCCACAGTGACCAGTACCAAAGGAATTGTTGTCTTGTGGTTTGGGCAGATGTCCTTGCACGAGTGCATTTTGTAGGAGGTTGTGGTCACCATTGAGCCAGCACCAGGTTCTGGGAGTCTTTGGTGATGGTTAGTCTCTGGCCATGGTGAGTAAGAACCCTTCCTGCATTCACTCCCACCTTGGTGTGGGTGGACACGGGTGACTGACTCCATTTTGCTTATGACAACTTTCCCACTTTAAATACTTGGCAAGTGTGAAAACGTGGCATTGCGGCCCAACATTCACACTGACACTGGGTTCCTGGTCGTGCTGACACGGTTGCCTTGGCGGTGGTGTGCTTTGTTTAATGGGATCTTCTTCAAATAGGTGGGAGGAGGTCAAGCCTCCCTTTGAGTTGGTCTGAACTGCACCCTTATCATTACAGTGAAGGTGCGAGACTCCCGGGGAGTCCTGCAGGTTTTGATTAGAGGGAGCCCACTCCGGTCTGCCCTACAGGATTTATGTTTGGCTTTATGCCAGCTGCTGGATCTGGTGACATTTCTTTCTTTTCAGTCATCGCACAGATGTGTTACAATGTCACATTTCCACTTGGGAGGAATCTTCTGTTCACCTGGGGGCTTTCAAACGGAAAACACATGCTGTGCTCAGGGAGTCTATTCCAGATGTGATTTCCCTTAATGATCACAGGCAAAAAGCACACACACACACACACACACGTTCTTACCCTAGAGAACCTTGGGTTAGGACATCAAAATGCTGTGAACTCAAGTGTGGGGAGAGCCTGAACACCAACACCCCAGAAGCCAGTGGTTTCCCTGTCCTTTGCTTTGAACTCCACAGCATGCAAGAGAGGCCAGTGAGAGGTGGGAAGAGCAGCTAAGAGAAAGGCAAAATGGGGATGGAGGAGACCAGGCATTGTAGCCCCCAGCCTGGCCATCTCCAGCCACTCCCTTATCATCTGGCACTCATGGGCACATTGCTGCCAGTCACGTGTCTAGGAGGCACTCCTCTGTGAACTCCTTAACTTTCACCAGGTCCACTTTCCCCATCTCCACCCACACTATATACATGCCCACTGATCTTGATCTCGTGGGGAGGTGGGCACTTAAACGCCTCTTCCTAAATCTCGTGGGCCCCTTGCTTATGGACAATCTATATAGAAACATGGCAGATTCCAGGACTGCTGCTGGAATCCGTCGAAGGCCCCAGACAGACCCCATGAGAAGAGAGAGCCAGCCTCAAATATCAACCATGCCGTCCATGGGAGGGAGGCCCTGGGCTCCCAAGAATGCAATCTGCTTCCCCTCCCGACTGCTCCTTTCCCCACCCTGCCCCTAGACACTGTTCATGACGACTCCACTTTCCAGGTAGACTCGAGAGGCAAAGGTGAGGATGAAATGGGGGGGAAACGCCACAGTGCAGATAACCGTGAGGACAGAATCAGAGCCCCTCAGGGGAACTTTTTCAGAGCAGTACTTAGGCTCTTGATGGTAAAGAGCTCAAGCTGTGCAACCTGGGAAAGCAACAGTTCTCCTGATGCAGGTCGGACGTGGGTAGCAGAGTCATTTGAGTTTCTGAGTTCTGAACTGCATTTCTTCACGTTAGGTCCATAGTCTCTTCTCTTATTTCTACAGTAAAATGCAACCTTATGTTTAGAAAAAAAAAAAAAAAAGTGGATGATTTTGACCCAGCCTGCTTCACCTGTACTGTGACTGAGTTTCTGCTCTGTGACGGTGAGTATGTTCCCTGTACAGGAAGGAAAACCAATGTGGGCTGCTGAGGACCTTCCTGAAGAAAGGCCCTGCAAAGAACCAAATCCCTCTCGACTGACTGGCAGGCCGGGCTGACTATAGGCCAAGCCTGAAACTTTTCCAAACACTCCACTCTGCCCCCAACAAAGTCAGGTTCTCTGGGCTGAGGACAAGGTGCAGAGACTGGCCCCAGGTTCACAGAATTTAGGCTGGGAATTTAGGCCAGGCAAGGGCAGGCCACACAGTGCCAGGCAGACCTCATGCAGACCAGGTCCCGGACTGAGCTGCCGAGAGGGGCCCTGTGTAAAGCTTGGGGAATGCACCCCTTCAGCCACCCAGGTCTGAGCTGCTGTCCTGGAGCACCACAGCATCTCAAGCACCACTGGCTTCCCTGACG